CCTTCTATGCTTCTCTGCCAGCTGTTTGCAGTCCTGCCCTAGCCGCTTCTCTGCCAGCTGTTTGCAGTCCTGCCCTAGCCGTGGTGGCTGTCTGGAGCTCGAGTATAGAGAAGGGTGGGAGGTTAGCCAAAGTGGGAACTCCATCCAGTGCTAAGGGAAAAACCATCCTCCTGGGTGAGACTTGACGGTGGTGCAGGGTGGGGTCGCCCAGGCTCCTGTAAGGAAGCCCACTACATTCACTGGCTTACCCACCGGAGCTTATGTAGGGCTGGTGTTCCTTTGGTCTGAAACCGGCGCCCGATCACAGTGAACAGGTGTTTGTTCCGGTCTCCCATGGAAGGTTCATGAGATAGATAACAACTTCTAGAGATATACTAAGGACAAAACATCAACCCGACGGTCTGACAGCTGTTTTCCCCCCTCTCCATGCCACAGGGAACCCCACAAGACACCGAAGCTTGGAGTGGCCGCGTCAGAGAGCCCAGATCTTGCCTGCTGTGCTCCCTGATGTCTGCTGCTTGTTACCCACGCCTCCTTGTGCAGCTGCAGCCCTGCCTGGAGTGCAGGAGCACTTCATTTTCAGTCCTCAGCCCCAGGAGCAGAGAAATAAGAGCCCATCCCCTGCACCTGCTCATGGGGTCGTGTCCGGGCCTGGCAGGTGACAGTGGGAGCCCCATCTGTAGCGTTTCTAGGCTCCAGAGCTCTGGAATGGACACAGCTGTGACTACCCCAGACCTTTAGTCACGAGAGCCAGCCCTTTTCTGTTTTGGATTAAGGCAGCCTAAGGCTCTTTGTCCTTTTGAAAGGAAGAGTCCTAAACAGATGCATGAGATGGTTTCTGAATGTTGTCAAGTGAAGTCGAAATCCCCTTCCTGCACCCTGATGCTCTAAGGAAGCACACAGGAAGCACCGAGAAGGGAGGAGGCACTGTGTGTGCATCTGATGGAGCTGGGAGAAATGAGTTGGAGGCAGCGAGCCAGGACCTGTTCTAGTCCGTTTTCTGTTGCTATAAGAGAATGCCTGAGGATGGAGACTTTATAAAGAAAAGGGGTCATTTGCCTCACAGTTCTGAAAGCTGGGCATCTAGGAACACAATGCCAGACTCTGTTCAGCTTCTGGAGGAGGTCTATGCTGATTTATACACACACATAAAGTGGAAGAGGGGATGTGTGGGGATTCACGGGGGGGGGGGGGGCTGGGAAAGGGGGCAGAACTGCTAACTGTCCCTGTAGTCCACTTAGGAGGGCTTTACCTCCATGACCTCCCACTAAAGCCTGCCTCTGAATGCTGCTACATGGACTAATTAAGCCCCAACATGAATTTAGGTGAAGACAAACCATATTGGACCCTCAGCAGGGATCAGCTTGCTCAAGGCTGATCCTTGAGCATGTCAAACGCTTTGATGGCTCCCCTATTCTAAGACCTTCATGTGTGCATTTGATCACTTAAAAACTAGCATGGCAACATTAACTTCCCTGAGCATCCTATAGTCACAGACCTGGCAGCCTCTTTCCTCGTGTTGGCAGTGGTTCAAAGACAATTAAAGTAGACACTAATCTCCCCACAGGTTCACAGGGAAACTTGGTCTCCAAATATGGAGTGGGAATAAACTATGGTACACATTCTTCTAAATGCTGATCCCTGACTACAGTAGGTGGAAATTAGTGATCTAAAGCAGGACCGTGTGAGTTCTCTGGACTAGGGCCACTCTCTAGATGGCTGAATCAAGAGTCTGAGTGACCCTCACCCACTTGTGTGTATATAGAGCACTGAATTGGCTGAGCAAAATCATTTTTACTTTATGCAAGGGTAGTCGGTGTGTCTGTGGTTCCCTCTTCCTACATTTTGCTAGGCACTAAATCCACAATTCACAGTCAGAACCCAGACATGATGAGTAGCTTGCTTAAAGTCACACAGTTGGCATGGGAGGCCCTGAGGCGTTAGTTAGCTCAGTACTGTGATTCAGGCATCCACACTCTTCTAGCCATGATGTCTCATGACCTAGGGTAGATATGAGCTGGGACTGGGTGAGATGGACTGAGGCTTCATCATACGAATGATCCTATCCTGTGCAGTCTCAAGGCATTGACACAAAAGCACATAGGAAGGCTCTGTGAGAGCAACCCGCAGAGGGTGGCCAGTGACATTCTTCCATATGGATGGAAGAGAAGACTCTGGGCATGAAACACACCCAATGAACAAAAGTGCTCAAAGTGCACTGCGAGTTTTTAAAATTAAATTTAGTTATTTATTAGAGAGTAAGGTGGATGATGGAGGAGAGAGATACTGTAGTAACTGGGGAGTGACCAAGATTCTGGCCCTCAGACATATATACATATCTCTGGCTAGCCAGGCCACCCCTCTAGCTGTCATCTTTTGGAGTGGCAGATATTCCACGGGGGATTAGATTTTCTCTTTGTGACTCTGTCCAGAAGATTTGTTCTAGGCCTTTCTCTGGACACTCTTGTAGATCCTTGGCTTGTGACAGTGTCATTCATGGTACTTTCTCTGTGTATGAATCTGTGCCCACATTTCCTCCATTGATAAGGACAGTAGTCATATGGGAGGTACACACCACCCCCGCTCCCACTGTAACATATGTAACTTCTGTTTGTGGCTCTAAACTGTCCAGTGAAGCCCTTCTTCCAGCCTGGCACATAGTGTGAGAGCATTAGCACATCACTGCACAAGCCCATACCAACACCGACAATAGCAATTACAGACTCTTCTGCCTTCCAAGGTTTTGCAAGAGAGCTTGAAGCAAGGAACCCCACGCTCCCTCTAGACCGTGAGACTCTGCCAGCAACTGAGCATCTCTGAGCCTGGTTCTTCACCAACAAAACAGAGGTGACAAAAGGCTGTTTTCCAAGATGCTAAGTAAGGTAGGACAGACAGACATAGGAAGATGGGCAGCTGTGGCAGCGAGCAAAAGGGTCATGCCAAGACCCACCTTCTTTCCAAACCTGAATATAGGGTTCTCTTGAAAGCAGTTGATGCTGGCTCCACCAAAAAAAGAAAAAAAAAAAATAGTGAAGAACTGCAAGTTGACACAGAAGCAAGCAGGTACAGTTTACTTTTGAACTTTGCATTTAAATGACTTCACTATTCGTCCTTCATTTTCATGTAGTAGGAACACTTTTGGATATTGTTCAGGTTTGCTTTAATAAAATCATTAGGATATAAAACCACACAATGCTAAGTAACAAAAGATTCTACCTGAGGTGTGTACTTGAGAAATCTTGCAGACTTTACTAGCATTGAGAAACAATTGGGAATCAGGTGGTAACAATGGTGCTTTTCAAGGCAGTAGTGACCTAAGGGTGGAGCCAGACCATCTTCTCAGCATCAGCTGATGCTCTCCACCGGTTGCAGCCTAAAGAACACAGAGAGAAAAATGACCGGAAAATGAGGCTGCAGAGCAGTAGGTGTGAACCTTCATGGAAGGAGCAGGGACTGGGCTGAAGACAATTTAGTCTGCGTGCAGGTTGATGCCAGGCAGGCTTTGCACTGGGTGTGTCTTGCTGGGGAGTCTGCCCAAGAAGAGCGATTAGCTGGTTATCAAATGGTTCCAGAAGACCTTGATTGTGAACTATTGGAGATGTTGGGTGGGCACATGTAAAAACAAGTTCATGTGGCTCAAACTAATACAAATTCCAAAGAAAACGGGAACACCTCAAATTCTAATCCTTGCAATTCTATAATAGGAGGGCAGTGGCTCTTACGCTGAGAATCCCTGGTGTCTTCTAAAACAGAGTAGAGTTTGGGCAGGATAGATTGAAACTGAGCATTTGGAAGTAGGGCCTCCTGTAGGAGGAACAGCGTCTGGGTTGCAAAATTTCGTGAGAGATGTAGCCCTTGGTGCACCCATGGGATCCAGAGGTGGCAAGGGTTCCTTATATCCTTTCTACCGTCTGGTCCTCTGGGACCCTCTCTAAAGGGGAACAGAGGCAGCGACCTCGGGGCCATCCTGAGCACCAAATGAAATTCTGTAAGGTCCCTTCGATTAGTGAATGGATGTCACTAGGTGCAAACATCAGGCATCAGCGGCAGATCTGTCCCTGCCACTTGTTCCGCTGGAAGAAAACGTCTTACCATCATTTGCATGGCCAGCTCCTATTTAGGGAGACAGTTGCGCTGTTTTATCTCTCCGTTCAGCTCTCACCTATCCCTGCACCCAGACCTCACAGCTTCCCTTGGACATTCATTGCAGGGCTCTATTTTTGTTTAGGTCAACAGGCAGAGCTTCCACCACCCACCCAGGCCGTGGGCGAACTAGCCACTTAGAGCTCCCTGCATGTGTGACCAGGGATCCTTGGGGCTTCTCGGTGGGCACTGACTGATTCTAAAGCGGAGTGAGGGCTCCTCTCGGGTGACCTGTTTCTGTTTGGGGAGGGGGACACACATCTGGCAGGGCTGTTCCTCCCCCTCCTGGGAATTTTGGCTTTTTTTAACGCCTCGAAAGACTCCTGGGGGGTGGGGAGTGGGCTCCGTTGTGCATAGGTGGGGAAATCGAGGCTCGGAGAGGCAAGAGCAGTACCCAAGGTCACGTGCCCCCTCGGGCGTGTGAGACGTGGGGCGCAGAGTTGGGCGCGGACTCTGCCCGCCCAAGATCGGGGCTCGTGGGGCTCGCCTGTCGCAGCGCGATCGCGGCGGAGGACCACTGCCGGGG